GAAACCCAGGCCTAGAGAGGTTAATTGGCTTGCCCACAGTCACCCAGACAATAAGGGTCATAGCCAGGAATCAAGCCCAAGTGTCTTTTAATTACACAATGCCTCCAAAAATGAGAGGGAACCTAGATCTTACCCCAGTTCTGGTATCCTTCCTCAGAAGGTCACACCATAACTGGCCAGTGTTGCCAGCCCACCCCCTTCATTCTTCAGTTCATTCCCTAGAGCAGGGGTGGAGAACCCAAAGCCTCGAGGCCACATGTGGCCCTCTAGGTCCTCAAGTGCCACCCTTTGGCCTTTTGACTGAATCCAAACTTCATAGAACAAATCCCCTTAATAAAAAGATTTGGTCTGTAAAACTTGGACTCAGCCAAAAGGCCATACCCAAGGACCTAGAAGCCCATGTGTGGCCTTGAGGCCGCAGGTTCCCTACCCCTGCCGTAGAGACACATTAAGCAGAAAGATAAAAAAAACCAAACCTGACTTTGCACCATTGGTTGCAACATGTCTAAAATTCCTCAGTTGCAATTCCACTCTGTTGTTGTTCTTTAAAACCCTCAATGGATGTGCAATGGCTTGGAGGGGGGAGGGAGGAGGTATACAACAGATTCATGCTCAGAGTATAAAATATAGCTTTCTCCACATGACTGATTCTTAAAGAGCATATAATGATGGGGCAGAGGGAATGAGTGCACAGACACAAAGGACTATAAAAACAGAACTTCCCCTAATGACTCAGTTTTAATTAGCGCGACAACCAATTGAAAGCAATTTGACTTCCTATGAAAGGTTAATGAAATTCATGTTTTGGACACTGAATGCGATACGGACTTTGCCAGTAATACAAATCCAACCTTTATTCTCTTTAATTATTTGGCCAGAACAATTTCCTAGGAGTAGATTAAATAAACCTCTGAGTGACTCTAATTAAACACTAGTGAACTCTGATGCTGACATCAGCTCATTGAGCTGCAATTTCATTTTCAAATTAATCCATCGCATAATGTGAAGTTTCCATATCTTGGCCACATAGCAGGCAGAGCAGGGACATCAAAAGGCGAGGGTCCAGATGAGCTTGTTGCTTGCCTAACATTGACCTATTCTGGAACACTTCCCTGCCTCCCTATCCCCTGGGCTAGCTGGGTTTTCACCAAGGTCCCTGGGGTCAAACGCAGAGCCTCTCCAAGGGCAAAGATGGAAGGTTGTTGACCCCTTGACACAACAGGGGAAGACATCTTCTTGGCTCCTCTCCCCACAGTGCTCAGCTCAGAGATTTGCTCCCTTAGTGACTGACAGACCAAAGCCCAGAGGTGCATAGGTCTTGTACAGCCATAACACTCAACTTGGTTTCCACTCAACCACACTTAACCTTTTCACCTCACTCTTTTCTCAGCCTAGCTTAGTGGTCAGGGAAGGTGATGTCCTCTCTGCTGTGTGCCTTCCGGGTCCCTAGGTGGCTTCAGCAGTGACAGGAGTCAAGGTTAATTACAGTTATGTGACGCTCTATATTCTTCAGCTCCTGATCCCTTCTTTAATTACTGCATATACCATTTCTAAAAAACACCTTTTCCTTGAGTGTCTACCCACTGAAAACTAACCCTCTTCTCCTCTGCTACCTCAGACTCAAATTTCAAAATGTCCAAGTTCAATTCTAATTTTCCTGGAGTTTTGTTTATAGCCAAGTTCAGATTTTAATTACATAATTCTATCTTCCTGGTTACCAAGACAACAAGCTTCTGCCTTGGCTTTTCCCTCCCCTTGCTCCCAACCTTCTTGGACACACATACCTCTCATGCCCTCACCTCACCAGTCACATCCCTGTGGAATACTTTAGCCCCAGAGCCACACGTGCTGTGGGGGTACACGGACAATGAAAACTGCTATCAAAACACAAGGGTTTGTATAGCCAATTTTGGGACTAGGAGGCAGGAATTGTTGGACAGACTGGGGAACCTGGGCTGTACCTACAGGGCCCTGAGGTACAACAAACCTGTGTCAATAACAAGGTTAAACAAACATGGAGCCAAGGGAGGGGGGAGCTGGGTTAGAGTCCAAGTTGGAGCTGGTGTCTCTGGACCTAGGAAAGCTGCCTGTTTTAGATCTTGCATCAAACAAGACGAATTTCCATGAGCTTCTTATTGAGAAGGCCCATTTGCCTAGACACTGTCCACATAGATGAGAACAGTCAGAACCTGCAGAACAAACAAGTCCTGGCCAGACTGGCATCCTCAGATTCCCTTTCTCTCTTTACTAACATATTCCTATTGGAGCTCCCTTGGAGACGAGATGCTGTTACACCAATGAGCAACATCTGCGGCCTCACTCAGTTCATCCCCAGCATGTCCAGCTGTGCTCTATCACCACCTGCTCACCTTGGAGCCATCATCAAGTTCAATGTTCCTCAGATTCAGGGTTACGCATATGCATACCGCCGAGTGCGGGGGAGAGTGCAAATGGTTCTTCACCTCTGAAGGCAGCCTTCTCCACACTCCGAATTTTTCTAATTCATGCTCTGAAAAAACAGGGTCAGGTGGTGCTAGCACCCTGTTCTTGTGTCTTCTCTTCTTGGGCCTTTAGGGCTTCCAAAGGTGCCTATGGTGCCTATGGAGAGACCTGATCCAAAAGTAACAGTCTCTCAGCCACATGCAAACGTCGTGTCATTATCTACTGAGCCGTCAGCCTTCATGGCTCTGTGAAAACCTGATAAGCAGTGAAGAGATTTCAGGGAAAGTCAAATTCCAGCAAGATAACCATGGGAAGCTCCAGGTTTCAGAGTTGAATAATTGTAGAACTATACCTGGTGGAGGAAAAACCAAAGGACACAGACTCTTAGAGCTAGAATGTATGTTTTTATTCAGTCAACCCTCCTCATTTAGGTCCAGCTGAGGTCCAATGTCTTTCAGGAATGTTTGGCCTTGCTACCATCCAGGAGGGTTTTACAGAAAGACACTATCCTACCCTTATAAAAGGCTGGTGGTACAGCTGTTTCTGAAACTTTCTGTGTGGTTCTGCTCACCAATATTAAGACAGACATGGCGCAGATCTTGAGATGGGCAACTAAAACAGCCAAAAGGACAGGGGCTGGAGGAGGATTGATGGGGGTGCGGTTTGCTACTTTGGGAGGACACACTAAAAACTGGCATCTTTCAGTTTGTAAAGACTGATCACTGACTGGTTTACTGCTTCATTCTCAACATAAAGAGGCAGCCTCAGAGATTTCAAAGGAAACACTACTTCAAATCTGCTAACGATCAACTTAGGGTATCCTTTAAGCAAAGAGGTATGATGACAGGGCCATCAAAATTTAAAGTACATTTTGATGGCCGAAAGCCACCTAGTTAACTTGGGGGTTTGCTGGCTAGACTTCTCTCTTAACCCTTAAACCCAATTCACTCTGGATCTCATTGATTGGACGATAGGTACCTGCTCAAGCACCACTTAATGGTTATTTTTTTTTTGGGGCCTTCGGGGCTCACAAGCAATCTAAATAGTAACTGTTTCTCTTTTGGCCAGCAACCCTGAGGATCTTCCCCTCCCAGTTAGATTTTTTTTAATTAAAGGGGCTATCACTTCTTATTTATTTATTATTATTATTTTTTTATTTTTAGCCAATTGGGATTAAGTGACTTGCACGGGGTCACACAGCTAGTAAGTGTCAAGTGTTTGGTCTGAGGCCAAATTTGAACTCAGGTCCCCCTGACTTCAGGGCCGGTGCTCTGTCCACTGCGCCATCTAGCTGCCCCTCTTGACTCACTTCTTAAAGAGGCCTATTCACTGAATGGGCATTGCCTCACTCAAAGTGAGAACCTGAAAAGACCTTAGCTTAAAAGGGCCAGGGTCTCCCATTGAACCCTAGGCCATCTCTACTCATCCTGATGAATATCTGGCCACTGAACCCAGACTGCTCTGGAGGAGAAAGTGAGGCTGGTGACCTGGCACAGCCTTCCCTCACTCAAATCAGTCAACTGCAAGTGCTGTCATCATCTCCCTGATGTCATGGTCCTCTTCGAGAATGAAGGACAAACCACATAATGATGACAGGGAATAAAATCAATGGCATCAAAAAAAGTTTGGACAAATTTATGAGGAGTAAATTGTAAAAGAAAGTGGGATATACCAAGCACTCCAAGTTTGAGGTCAAGGAGAAGAACCAACTAAGTAGGCCAAGGCTGCTACCGGCCAGAGACTATGGGCTACATAGAGAAGTCCTATGTATCTCTATAGGCAAGTGGGAATGTCTTTAAGATACATCAGCTTGTGCATAGAGCACCGGCCTTGGAGTTAGGAGGACCTGAGTTCAAATCCGGTTTCAGACCAGACATTTGACACTTACTAGCTGTGTGACCCTGGGCAAGTCATTTAATGCCAACTGCCTTCCCCCCCCCAAAAAAATATATATATATATAATCTTGATGTAATAAAAATCCCCACTATAAAGGCAGAAATTACCTCTGCATTTTGACAGAGAACAAAAGCCAAGTTGCAAATAAATAGAAACGCTATTTGAAAACTATAGAAGAATGAAGATTATTGATATAGTTGTTAACTATTCTGTATGAAAGGAACCTATTATCATGTTATGAACAAAGGGCTGTGCTAAAGCTCCCTACAAATTTACTACATTTATTTTATCCTTAAAAGACAGGGGGCTTTTCAGTTTTTTACTCTGACTGTAAGAATGTACAGGCCACAACCAAAAGCTCACATATTAGAGGGCACAAGATTCCCACTCCTCTACACAAATGACATAATCAAAGAGAATTCTCCCCAAATATTACAGAGAAGGAAAAAATTACTTAATTTCATTAAGAAGTAAAGGTTACTGTCTTACTTACAAAAGGACCGTATGGTAATTTATCATTACTGCTTGGTTAGGTCTATCCTCAACTCTAAGGAAGCTGTCAGAATTAAATGTTAAAATAAAAAGCAATACAGCAATCAAAACGTGTCTATTATGAAATAATGTACTGTAAAGGTCATTTAATTCAAAATATAAACTCAGCTTGAAACTTCTCATTCATGTATTTATTCCATAAGCAAAAATAAATTACACCTTAAAGCTACAGGATTTAACAAGAGTAAAGGAGAAGCGCCAACAGGGATCTAACTATACAACAGTCCAGTCCAAAGTGCAAAACTTTTATTAAGAGCTGCTCTGTTCCCATGGTAGAATAAATACAGAATCTTCATTTCTGGAATATTTAAAGAGGTCAGAGATAGGCATATAACCCTTTTGAAATTATATGACAAAGTTATGGGTATGTGAATAGTTAACAGAAAATAATTTCTATTAACACCATGCTGCAAGATGGAAAATTCCCCAAATTAACAGCTAATTAAATTCCCAGTGAAATTTGTGGTGTCAGAAAGAACAGATTTTTGGCACCAGGAAGTTAAAGGACTTTCTGTCACTGGTGCAGCTTCAATGAATCCCCTCCTCCCTTAGCCAGCACATCTGGTTACAGAAAAGCTTCCCCCACTTACATACAGTCTCAGTCTCTCTCTCTCTCTCTCTCTCTGGGCCTCTGATAGGCACAACCAGAAATCCCTGGTGGCCTCATCACAGTGATGAGCTGGCCTGCCAACCTCTGGAGAAATAAGGGAGCCCAAATTAGAAGGGCATCATCACCTTTGCTTAAATAATAGCTAACTCTTCAACATGTTCTGATAATCCATTTATTCTCAGAAATAAACCAACCAAAACATTTCCTTATTAATAAGTCTTCTAATTCTAATTGAAGAACAACAAAAACTTACATAGGTGAGGAAAATTCACTGGCAATTAGGAAAATAGAAAATTCAAAGGGTTTTATGCCAAAACTCTTGTTAATAAATCAATCAGTCTTATGAATCCTATCTTATTTATTTTTGGGTTGTGAAGCCATGTAGAGAGCAATCAGGCAGTAGATGGTCCCTCCCAGTGTCAAAGCCATGGTGGTCCGATAAAGCATTTGGTCGGGCAGACCATGTTTCAAGTGGACAGGTAAGCCATCGGATTTCTTGGAGAAAAAAAAAAAACAACAGCATGTGTTAACATATACAGGCAGCAAACAACGAGAAGGCACATGTAAGTCAAGAGATTCTAAAATTAATCCATCAGCATGACTAATGGAGAAAAAACAAAATGAATTCCTCTGAACACAAAATACTAGACATTTTCATGTAAATATGGCTAGTTTCTGAATCTGCAATCACTCCAAATTTGGGTATATGCATATCTTTTATGTCATAGGTTCCTTATTTCTGAGGCACTTATCATAGACTAAGTTTAATGAGGAAAAGGACACTAAAGAACAAAAGAGCCATATAAATCAGAATTCAGGCCAAACAAAATGCTGTTTGCTTAATATGCCATCCTGATCTGAGGACCAAAGTCTGAATACAGTAGGCTGATTAAGTGTGAATGAGTTCAGGTCCATTTTGTACTCAATTGCCCTTTTGCCATTAAGCTTTTAAACCCCTGTAAATTAAGGGAAAATCCACAAAAGCAGCTTTAGTCCATTATGTTCCACCCTCTCCAAGATGCTTCCCCCTTCTGCCTTCAATTCATTAAAATACCCTTTCAGTCTTGTTCATCAAGTAAAAAAGCAGGAGATAGGTGGTGCCTCGTTTCAAACAAAATCATTCTACGAGCTGTAGGAACAGTACCAGATTTAGAGTCTGGAAACCTGGGCTTCGAGGCTGAATGTACAATGTTGGGCAATTTCCTGCATGTCTCTGTGCCTCAGTTTCCTTATCCATCAAATGAGAGCCGGGCAAGGTGATTTCTAAAGTCTCTTTCAGCTCGAGATCAGGGCACATGTGTGTGTCAAGCACAGCGATCAAGCAATCAACACGCAGTACCCGTGTTCCAGGCACTGAGCTAAGCACTGCAGAGCTCTCATTCTAATGAAGGAGGAGAGGTGTAGAATAGGTGGTAGGTAACCTGAGAGAGACAGGCACCAGCCTGATTGAGGGAGATGGAAGTCAGGAGGGAGAGCATGTCAGGCACTAAAGATGGTCAGTCCAAAGGCATGGGCATGGAAGATAGAGCACCATCCAGAAGGAACAGCAAGTATGCCAGTAATGCTGGACCATGGAGTTTGTGGAGGGGAGGAATGTGTAAGAAACTAAAAAGACAGGAAGAGATCAAATTGTTGAGAGCTTTAAATCCTAGAGCAGTATACATTTGATGCTAGAGGTAACAAGGAGCCCCTGAGGGGTAACAGGGACACAAATGAGTTTACTGAGTGTGGGGAGAAAGTGAGGGCTAATATGGTGGGCAGACCTGCCCTTCGGGAGCCATGTGGAGGACGTACTGCATGAGAGACTTGAGGTAGATAGAACAATTAAAATACTCTCATGACAGTACAAAGGAGAGGTTATAAGGGTCAGGAATGGGATGGTAGCTGTGTGGATAGAAAGGAAACATACAAGAAATATGGAGGAAGACTAACTAGATGTGGCAAATGACTGCATATGTGAGCTAAGTGAGAGTGAGTAGGAAGATGGTGGTAATCTTAACAGTAAGAGGAAGTATGGAAGGGGGGTAGGCTTGGGTGTAATGAATATTTCTTCAGTCATTAAGGGACACTGTGCAAAGTGTCCCTTTTTTTTCTCAGCAGTAAGCTTTAATTACGCATATAGAAGAACGACTCCTTAGAGTGGATATATCGGGAATATCTGATTTGCAATCGGACTTCCTTCTGCCTTGCAGCCAATTTCAGAGGATCTAGATCTTAAATGGACTTTAGAGGTTATCTAATTCAACCCCCTTACTTACATGAAGAAACCAAGGCCTAGAGGAATGACTGGTCCAATGCCACCTGCATCATAAATAGCAGCATCTGGCTGGAGGGCCTCTCATTTTACCACAATGAACCTCATCCCCTTAAAGGCAGAGCATGGAGAAAGACTGAATTTTAATAGTGGAATTTTTTTTTAAATTATGTCATGGAACTGTTGGCAATTTTTTTTTAAGCCACAGCCCTTTCTTTAAAGCCAAACAGAAACATCTTTTGGATTATTTCTCTCCTCTAATTTGGACAAATTAAGAACTCATTGTGTATCCCACTAAAAATCTCTGATCCCATGAAAACCACCTACAACATGAATCTCTTCATTTTTACCAGAAAGTGAAAATAAAGCCTGCAGATTAAAAAAAAAAAAAGATTTCAAGGAATGTGAGGCAATTTATATTATTAGAAATTCATGTATGGGGATGGAGGTGGCATGAGTACTAAAGGAGACAGATTCAGACTGTGGGAAGAAAACCTCTACTTAAAAGGTTGCAAGAAATCGAGTATTTCACAGGCTTCTTTTCCTATTCTCACCTGAAAAAATTTCTGCAGCTCTGGAACTTTGTTTTTCCCAGCATAATCATATGGAGCTGTTTCTGAAGCAAATTTCGTTGGTGTGGCAAATATAATAGGTGGTGCTTCTGAAGATGCCACAGGCTTTAAACCCTGTAAGAAAGGAAAAAATAAATGTCTAGCTGAAAGTATGGGTAGACATTTAAATGAATCTTCTAAGAAGCTCTGCTCTCAGGAATGGTGGTAGCACATATAATCCATCAAACCTTTTCCCTCGTTCTCCTAACACCAGGGGTGTGTTGTCTGGTCTTCAAACACTCTACAAAGCAGTTCTACCCATTCTCTCAGGACAAACACCGGCCTCAACACCCTCTCTCCCTCCAAAGGAGGAGGACTAATCCTGAGATTTCATCACCGTAAGGAATTCCCAGAATGGAAACCCCCTTAACTTAACTTACTCTTACAGAGTTATGTGTGGCACTATATGGGTGGGTTATTTAGCTAGTAGGTTTTGAAGGCCAAACTTGAACCTAGGTCCTCCTGACTTCAAGGACAGCCTTCCAACCACCATCCTCTTGCTGCCACTTCTTAACACTTTTCCTTAAAAAGAAAAAAAACTAGGTCCACCAGAAAAATAAAATGAGGACTTTCATGGGGACTGGTGCAGGGCATTCCATGCCGAAGGAACTGACTGTGAATAAAAACACAAGACAGAATTTGAATGAATTGCATGTGACCGGAGAAGCTAGGATGAGAGATCTGAAAAGGAATGGGAGATAAATATGGGATGAGACCATGGGGGACCTTACATGGTAGGACAACGTTTTTAGGCTGGGGAATGTTGGTCAGAGCTTAACATGAGAAAGATTAATCTGGCATTGGTTAGGATGGGATGGAAGGGAGAGCAGCAGGCAGGTTAGCAGAGAGATGTAATGAGGGCCTTTGGGTGTGGTCACTCAGGTACTTTTGAAGGCAAGAGTTAGGCAACTCATATCTCTTAAGGATATAATGAAACACTTTTTTGAGTGTTGAGGCCACCACTAACATGGCATCTGACTAAAGGTTAAGAATGAATGCCTGCCTGGGAATCAGCAGATCCCAGTTTGAATCTCTGCTCTGCAATTTACTATGTGACCTTGGGCAAGTCCCTTCATCTCCATGAGCTTAGGTTTACCCAACCATAAATTGGGAATATCATGGCATCCACTTAACAGAGTAGGAAGACATGAGATGAGATAATGTATCTAAAACCCTCATAATAACGGTGAATTAGTAGGTAGGAATAATAGTGGTACTATAAACAGACACTGGTTGTCTTGAATGGGCTTGGCCATGTCAGGCTCTGAAAGCACTTGCAGCTATACTTGGTCCTGACTCCTACTGTCTGTGTGACCTTGGGCAAGTCATTTAGGCTCCCTGGGCCTCAGTATCCTCATCTGTAAAATAAGGGTGAACCAGATGGCTTCTGAAGACCCTTCCGGATCTAAATCTATAATCCTAGGATCACAAGTTAACGTGCTATAGGATTTGAGGCAGATAGGTAAATGTCTTAATTTTTTTTTTTTTGCAAGGTAATTGGGGTTAAGTGACTTGCCGAGGATCACACAGCTAGTAACTGTCAAGTGTCTGGTCTGAGACCAGATTTGAACTCAAATTGAGACTCCAGGGCCAGTGCTCTATCCACTGCACCACCTAGCTGCCCCTAAAAGTCTTGATTTTCAAGAAAGTAAATTATGCTAACGATGGGCTGATGAGTTTGATGTTGAGTCCAGGCAAATTTCTAGAACAGAATATTAAACAGATGGATTTTGAGTATTTGGAAAAAAGAAGTGATCACTATGAGCCAGTACAATTCATTAAGGACAAGTCATGTCAGACGGAAACTCGTTACATTTTTTTGACAAAGTTATTTGAATTGAAGTAATCATCACAGGCAGTATATATCTGAATTTTTAGCAAAGCATTCAATAGTTTCATTATATCCTTAAGAGATGTGAGTTGCCTAACTCTTGCCTTCAGAAATGGCTGAATGATCACACCCAAAGGCCCTCATTACATCTCTCTGCTAACCTGCCTGCTGCCCTCCCTCTTCCAACCCATCCTGAACAATGCCAGATTAATCTTTCTCATGTTAAGCTCTGACCACCATTCCCCAGCTTAAATATGTTGGCCTACCATGTAAGGACCCCCCCCCCAGTCTCATCCCATATTTACCTCCCATTCCTTTTCAAGTCTCTTAATCTAACCTCTCCAGTCAAATGCAATTCATTCCAATTCTATCCTGTATCTTTACTCACTGTCAGTTCCTCAAGCATGGAATGCCTTGCTCAAATTCCCATAAAAAGTCCTAAGTCAAGTTTTTTTCAGAGGTAATTCACATCAATCTAATCTAAACACTCATTAAGTGTTGACTGTGGGCAAGACACTGCACTAGAAAGCTCTGGAATAAAAAATACCGACCCTGACTTCAGGGAGCTTACAATAAACTTGGAAGTTTAAGACATGTACACAAATAATTAAAATCCAAGGTAGGCTGTGATAAGAGCCAAGGAGAAATTTAGACTAAGTAGTATAAAAAAATATGAGGACAGATCTTTTTTAGTTTCAGGAGAGAAGGGGAAAATTTTTGAAGGTGCATTGGATAAGGTATCTCCTGAGCAAAGCTTTGAAGGAAAAGTATTTCAACAGGCAGAAATGTGAAAGATGTATATTCTGGGAATGGCAAATGGCCTATGAGATGGGGAACCAAAGAACACCTAAGAGAACAACTAGTAATCCATTCTGGATGGAAGAACAAGTGTGTGGATGATAAATAAAATGAGTAAAACTAGACTAGTAAGACTGAGGAGCTAGGTGGTGCCATGATGCATAGAGTGCTGGGCCTAGAGTCAGAAAGACTCATCTTCCCGGGTTCAAATCCAGCCTCAGGCACTTACTAGATGTGGGACCCTGGGCAAGCCATTTGATCCTGTTTGCCTGTTTCCTCATCTGTATAATCAGCAAGAGAAAGAAATGGCAAAGCACTCCAGTATCTTTGCCAAGAAAATCACAAATGGGGGTCACAAAGAGTCAAATATGACAGAAAACAACTGAACAACAACTAGAAAGGTATGTTAGAACCTGACAAGCTAAGCGGTTTTTATTTTATTCTCTAAACAATAGGGAGCCACTGAAGGTTTGGGGGCAGAGGAGTACCATGGCCTTATGAAAGCTCATCTGGCAATTATGGGAAGGATGAACTGAAAACAGGAGACAGGGAGACCAGTTGGGAGGCTTCTACAGTGGGAAAGGGATAAGGAGGGCCAAAACTACCACAATATTAGTGGAAAAGGAAAGATATTAGAGAAGTAAAATCAATAGGATTTGAAAGTAAGAGGAATGTTTTTTCAAAGTTCTGAGCCTTTAAAACTTCAGTGTTTACAAGGATGGTATAATCAACGTATATAGGAAAGGTGCAGAGAGGGGCAAGGGTTTTGTTTTAAGAGGGGTTGGGAGGACATTAAATTTGAGGGGACAATGAAACTTTAAGATAGAGATATCAAATAGGCATAAGGAAATGTGGGACTGCACTTCAGGGTTAAAATAAAACTATCGATGTGGAGCCATCTGCACAAACATAAATTAAGACATCAAAGAGAAAATGCAGAGAGAAAGCTGGGTAGAGTCTTGGAGAATACTGGTACTCAAGGATGGGAAAAAAAGGATCATGTCTACACTCACTGCCTTTACTTCCTCTTCTCTCACTCAATCATTTCTCAAACCTTTAAAATCTGCCTTCCCACATTACCACTCAAGTTATCGATGAATTTTTAATTGCCAAATCTAAAGATCTCTTCTCAGTCCTCATCCTCCTTAATTCCAAATCCTCTTTTCTTCTCCTTCTACATTCTATTTCTTAGTAACCTATCAAGACCCCATGAGTTTAACTATCATCTCTATACAGATGACATATATGTATGTGTATCAATATCCATCCAACCAGTCTCTCCCTCAAACTTGGGTCCCACATCAGCAATTCCATATTAGACATTTCAAAATGAATGTCCCAGACACACCTTAAACTCAACACGTCCAAAACAGAACCCAATCTTCCCCTGGAACCTTCTCTCCTAAACTTCCTTATTTCTGTCAAAGATACTACTGTCCTGCCCTTCTCCAGGTTTGTGACCTTAGCACCATCCTGGCCTCCTCATTCTCCCTCAACCCATATATCCAGTCAGCTGCCAAATACTGCTATATATTCACAACACCTCTCTCACTCATCTGATCCCTCTTGTCTATTCACATAGCTACAACCTAAATTTAGGCCTTCATCATCTTTCACCTGGATTATTCCTACAGCCACCTAATTGGTCCCCCTGCGTCAATTCTCTCACCACTCCTGTCCAGCCTACGAGCTGCTTCCAAAGTAAGTTTCCTTAAGTGTAGATCTGATCATTTAACTTCGGTACTCAACCAATTCTGGTGACTTCCTACTACCTCTAGAATAAAATACAAATTTCTCTATTTAGCTTTGAAAGCCCTAAACAATATGGCCCTAATCTCTTTCCAGTCTCATTGGACATCACACCCCCCCCCCCCCCCTTCTCTCTGCAATCCAGTCAAACAGGCCTTTATTCTGGTCCTCAAACATAGCACATTATATCTCCTACCACCATGCTTTTGCACTGCCCTATCTCCCACTGCCTGGAATGAATTCCCTTCTCATCTCCACCTCAGAGATCCTGTATTCCTTTAAGATTCAACTGAAGCACAATCTTCTTTATGCAGCCTTTCCTAATCTCAATTGCTCCTGCTCTCCCCCTCCCAAGCTACCTTACATTTAACTATGTATTTATTCTTACTTAGTCACTTTGTACTGGTGCAAGCCACTTACATACATTTTATTTTACCTCTGTACTTGCACCCACCGTATCTGGCACAGGGCCTGGCTCATAATAGAGGGCTTAATAAAATATCGACTGATTGCTAAATCAGAACAAGTAAACAGGTAAGAAGAAAACTAGGACCAACCTAGAAGTCAAGAGATGAAAAAATATTAGGAAGTCAAGGAGAGTTCTGAATGCTACCCAAAGACAAGAAGAATGAGAACTGAGAAAAGGCCAATGGATTCAGCAAATTAAGGCTGGCCTTAGAGAAGGCAGTTTATTAGA